GTTTCATTGGCTACATGTTGTCGTGAGATCCATACAGATCATAGGTCCTCCACAAATTTTTGCCCGCTGGATCCACAGAGATCATAGATCCGACCCCTAAATTTTGTCGAGAAATCCATTCGGATCATAGATCCAACCCCTGAATTTTGTCGAGAGATCCACTCGGATCATAGATCCAACCCCTCTATTTTGTCGAGAGATCCACTGAGATCATAGATCCAGCTCTCGGATCCAAGCACATGTCTGATGACCTAGCCCGTAGCCGAAAAAAATCGTGCGGCACATCAGTCGATCTGTATCGTCAAGATGGACGCAGCTAACGCGTTTTCACCTAGCATGCCTCGATCAAAAGTTATTAGCGAAAAACTGTTGCATATCTTTCGTGACCTTAAATGACCTCAGGGACATAACCAGGTTTCACGGGTGCCATTTTCCGCTTCAGTGTGTCATGTTTACTTATACCTTGGAGTTTAAAAGTGTTTAGAATGACGTTCGTCGAGAAGAGGCGCCTTTCAATTTTCTCCCCTTGACTTATCATGGAGAGGTTGCAAAAGTGACCGGACCACTAGGTCACAGATATCAAGATTCTACGATATTCATTTTATACATAATGTTGCTTTTACCAATCACTGAAGTTTCAAAACGGTCCATCACTCGGTGTAGGCATTGGCAGGCATTGACATTTTTTTATAATGAGGTCACTTGACGTGACCTGGTGACCTGACCTTGTGGAGACTTTGGTCTGAAATTTTCACAACATGTGAAGAAAGGATTATAATGAGGTGTACCAAAAATGGCGGTCGCCTTTTTAAAGATATCCGCGAAAACCGTAAGGGGTGTTCAAACCTCCCCCCCCCCAGGCAGGACGCGGGTTAAGTCAATGCCTGTACCTACAAAAGCCTAAGTGGGCACGATCAGTCCCTTTGCTCCCCAAGCCGATACAATTTTGAGAAGCGGAGGAACGGACTCGCTCGTGATCACTGATCTGCAAGACTTGCTTATAGTTGTGCTAGGCATTGCAATTTAAAAGTGGGATGTTCGAAGAGCTCATTGTTATTTTGGAAAATATATTATTACAAACATCTCAAAACAACCTCAACACCATAGTTTTGAATAAAACCTAGTTTCAGTTGCTCAAAGGCGGTGAGCCGGGCGCTGGATAGATCGTGTGGTGGGTCCGTGGCGTCATTCACAAGCGCTACTTAGCCGGGCAACCGGGCCCACAGCCACCCGTTCATCCATTTGGACATTTTTTATGTACCGGAAAGTGATTGTTAAATTCATCCTCATTCTTCATTTGAATCTGATTCTTCAGTCAAACAAACTAAACGAATTTTTTTAGTCCGGCTCCAGAATGACATTGCATGGAAAATATCAAGATACAGATGCCAGAATAAAATTGAACGAATGAAAAGAAACTGATGCCATTTCTAGAATCTCGATGCGTGATTGTCCACATGCATTTACATATGTGTGAGAAATGAATAAATCAACAGCTATGAGAGCAGCCAGGTATAATTGCAATCTGAATCACAAACAGCACGATCGAGCTGCTCGTCAATCTATGGAGAGCGGACATACCTACATGTCAGCGTTATGTAGTCAGTAGAATGTAACTTTTTTGCATACCTTCCTATATTTCCTCACAGTCACTTCCGCGACATGGTAGTTCATTTTTCATGGATCAGGTTAAAAGAAAACTATGGATTTAAGCTGAGGCGCTCCGATGAATCGAGCCTCACAGAGTCAAGTGTTTAACTATTTTTATGAGAATTCGAGAGATTTTGGGACTTAAATGATATTGTTGAAGTAGGTGAATTTTATATCAAGGTAGGCAAGGGCGAATTAGTATTCGCAACAAGTTTGGCTGCTTACCGGTTAACTTGACCTCGTACGATGTAAATCACTGACCGTAGTTCAACAACGTTCGTAAAGTTCAGAACAGTACAGAATCAAATAAGACATTAAAAGGAAACTTGATTGTCCATAATTTTCATTCGACTGACTTTGCACCTAGCAGTACATCCTGGTCGAATGCCAGCCACTAAATTGACTCGAACTATATATCAAACCATGCAAAATACTAGAACATTTTTTTGCGAGACCTCGAATCACCAGTTTAGGCTGTGCCATTTCGGGGCCGATTCCTGCCCTCCCTTCCCCACCCCTCCTCCTTGGAACACCCACGGCGGGCGTCGCCGCGTCTCGTCACCTCTGCGCCGAATCAGCCGTCATTACCTCATCAGGCCCGCGTCGCCGCGACGTCTATTGCGGCGTTTAGCGCAACGGTGGCCACTTTGGGCCACAGACGCAGTGCGGCGGGCCGGGCGGCGGCGGCGCGGGGGCGGCGGGCGACCTCACAGCGCGTCACAGACGCCGAATCGTGAGCGGCACGGCCGGCCCGATCGGGACACAGGAATGCCGCCGCCGACAGCCCGGAATGTCGACTGTGTGTGTATGTGTGTGTTTTGGTATCTGGCAGAGTCACGGTGGTCGTGAGCGACACGTCACTTTGGGCGTCTCGGCGTCGACGGTGGTCGGCGGGGAAGGTATCTAAATGTGACGGACGCAGAACATGCCAAGATAGGAGCCGCAGAAAAGGCAGGGCGTGAGAGTGACGAGTTTTCTGTGGAATGTTTGTTAAATGCTGCTGTGGTCACGGGCCACCTGGTATGTAATGGGAGAAGGAAAGGTGGTGGATTGTGGGTGAGACCGATCCAATAAAACTCCGATGAGACCAAGAGGCGCATGGGAGGGAACGGTACCAATGAATGACGCCGAATCAGCCAGCATTGAAACGGAATTCTCGCGAAACTAAGTGGTTGTCGCTTGTGAGAAGAATGTTAACTACCAAAATCTTGAACATCTTGTCAGGAGATGTCGTGGGATAAATCCAAACGCATTTGCATTGTGGTCTTTTGGGTAAGTTTCATTTTCCATATCTGCTTCCGGTTATTCATTTCCGGTGATTGCCCAATGACTTTACCCTTTACCGCTTGCACAAGGTGAATCTCTTTCAAAATTGATCTACTATAGCAAGTCCACAGCACTTAACAAAAAACATCAGAATGATCGATATCTTCCGTTTCCATTCCATTCTGCATTCCTTCCGTTCTTTCCAGTTCACCGTAGCGCGTGGGATGCTAAATACGGCCTCACTTCCAGCTGGATGCCCCTCCCCGTGGCTGCCCCTCCCCTTCCTCCGTTCCTACGGGGAGCCGATGATTACGGCACTAATCCCCCGCGCGCCACCCACGCTCTGAGCGCACGCCGGCCGGTAAATACCATCTCCGGCGCTGGAGGTCCCTGCTAAACTCGCACCAATCGGCCTGTCAGCGCGCCCCGCGATCGCTGAGGGGAGGGGATGAGGCAGGAAGCTGAGGGAGGGGGGAGAAGGTGAGCGGGGCCGGGGAGATAGGAGGATGCAACAAGTTAGATGATGTAGATTGGTGAGGAGATTTCGTTCACTAATCAAGCTTTGCTATCATCTAGAACATTATGTAGTAGCTGCAGTTATTCATTCATTTATCTCGTTCTGTTCTTCTCGAACCTCATGAGAATCGTTCGCGGCATACGTTAACCACGAAACATAATTTTAAGCACCTCACGCGTTTCCTTGAGGGTTGAGAAAGCCGGGCAGCCTCTCGCCCGTACCAGACTGGCCAGCCCGCCACGCGCGTCCACCGTCACTGTGCCCCGGGGGTGTCCTCTGTATACCATCTCTCTCTGACGGGTGTTGGATTGAGCCGGCGGTATTCCGTCCAGTCTGACGGTGTGTTGACGGAGCGGGGGTGGCCGGCGCGTGCCTCTGTGTGCGGTATCACAACAGAGGGCTGACCACTGGCCACCCCACCCCCGCCGCCGCCGCCGCCGCCCCCGCACGGCAGCTAAGCCGGGGTTATTGTAGCCGGGATTATGCGCCGGGACGGGACGGGAGAACTGCGCGGGTGGGAGGCCGAACGGCTTTGTTCGCGGAGATCGGTCGCCATCCGGTGTGTCCGAGGTAGGGAGATGGACGGATCGACGGGCACAGGTGTCGCGGTGGTATTTAAATCAGGGGAGAGTGCGGGATGGGATAATAACCACACATACCTGTTCCCGGGTGGGCCGTTTAAAGGGACAGGAAACGGAAGATTCCGTTGAAGGAAGTAGGAGAATCGTCTTGTGGTATGTCGCAAAAATGTGCCGCATACTTTATGTGCTTTGTCAAGAATGCAGACCTCATTTGATCGTTTCACGCACCACATTCCTCGCAAAATGGGTTAGCTGGTCACGCTAAAATCTGAAGCCTTCATAGCAATTTTAATCTACGCTTTATAAAAACCCGCATTACGCCGAACTTAAAACCAAGTATCCAGGACGTTCTTCAGACTCAGTTATGCTCCATCACATTCTTCTCTGGCCTCGGCCCAGCCTTTAGAACGCGACGTGCCTAACCAAGAAGACACCCGGCAACACACCAACCCTTCACCTGTCATCGTCGCCACCTGTCCTGGCCCTGTTCCCTGACGGGTCACCAGGTCACGTGGGTCACATTCCACGCGCTCCTGACGCTCCTCCAGCGGCGTCACCTCAGCTTCCGGCGCCGCCGTGACTCGGCGCACGCTCCCGCTCCTGTTTGTGTGCGTGTGTGCGTCATGTCTGCTGTCTGTCTGTGTGTCATCTGTGTGCCAAGCGGTGCGTCATGTGTGTTCATACGTGCGGTGAGTGCGAGCGGGTTGACTGGTGAAATACGTCAGCCGAGAGCAGGCGTCAGAGAACGGGTACAAATAGTTTGCGCTCCACTCGCAGCGCGTTTCGGACAGTCACGGCGCGCAGATACAAACAAGGCGTAGATGCGTCACGAACGCAGACCCGCAGTCGACCGTTACACAAACGGTGAGCGAAATAGGAGAGTGTCTCTTCCGACGACTCACTTCCGAGGCTCATTCCATAGAATGTAATGAGACAAACTACGATCAGTCCCCTACTCGGAATGGTCTTATCGGAAACGCCTGTAACAAATGACATAATTGTATATTTTAAATCAACCAGAAAAAAGCGACTTTTCTCACATGCCACCCTAAAATCAGATTGTCACTTTCGACAGCTGGCATCACTGGAAACATATTTTTACCGCTCCAGTTTATGGCGCCGGCCGCCGCCATTGGACAGGCCGTCAGAGCTGTGGGAATCTGCGGACAGATGTCGAGTGCGCCCATCGGCTCCCTATGACAGATGGTCACCGGGCACCTCGCACCTGCACGAGTGCAGAGCGCCACTCTCGAGGGCCGCCATGAGTGGTCGCTCTTCACGGCGCCGGCGACTACCGGGCTCCCGTGGTAGCCGGGCGGACGCCGGGCGCCATCGACTCATTATTTGCGCTGTGAGATCATCTTCGGCGCCGGGCGCCCAGTCACCGGACGATGGGCTTGCTGTTGGGCCGCTCGCGCCTCAACCAAGGGCAGCGCCTTCGAGGGGCAGCGACCTCACATCTGCATGAAAGAAGGGGGAGTCAGTTGTCCTGTTCTTGCCTAGAGGGTTGACGAGTTTCGGTAAACCTGATATATGATTAGGTGTGGCATTTAAAATGAAATATAAGCTTCGCCAATAGAAATCGGTGGAATAACTATAAAATAGGCATAACATTTTCTTGAATGGGAACCGAAGCGACGAGTTGGAATCGGCAGCACGTAATTTAAGCTTTTTCACTTCAAGTCAGGCATTATTCCCAACTGCAGCATCCATCGAAAATTCATCCCCCACCTAACCACCCCTATACCTCCCCAGACCCGCCGGAAGACAGGCTGCGCGACCCCGCGCACACCAACCCCAGGACCGTGCCCTATCACCACCGCCTCTCGACCCGACCACAGGCGGCGGTCGCGGCGCGCCACAAAGGCCCCCGTGCGCCACAAAAGCCGCCGTCGCCGGTGTCGAATGCGGCAGAGTCGGGTTGCATACGGGCGGCGGTCGGATTGATTGCGGCGGCACGAGTCAGCCGGCCCGCTGCTCTGAGTCGTCTGGCAGGGTGGAAGGGGGGGGGGGGGGACAGGGAGCTGGCGCGATACCGCACGGCTAGGATTGATTGCAGAGCTGGGACGAGGTCGCGTTTAAGCGCAGGGGAGTGGGCTGTTCGGCCATCAGCGAATGTTGTCGCTGATTTTCAAAGCTTCCATTATCCGAGGCCTTCATAACCTTCATTTCCTTAAAAATATGCTCCGATTAAAGTGCATTACCAAAGTTACGGATATTTCAGCCTTTCAATGTGTGAAGTATTTGGCGCGGCTTGATAAAATTCGCTGTTACGCACCCCACACTTATTATTTCTGTAGGTACGCACCCCAAAGATGTCCTGCGATATTCTAGAACCCAGAAATGGACACTGCTCTTTTCGACCATAATCAAACCCTTGGCATAACCCTTGGCTTAAGGAGCAGCGGTTCCAACCACAGTAGTGCTAAATTATCCTTTTGTGTCATCCCCACCAGCATATCCTGTGCCTTTCTGCTCGTTCACAGCGGCGCTTTATTTCCTAGCTGGCAGCCTCTCGCGGCGCTATTCAAATTTCCTGCCGGCGCGCACGATTTCATCTATTTTCGCCGTTTTTCAAGAGCTCTCGTGTCGCTTACTCAGCTGCACTTTAAATTTAATATCGGCTATTCTGGGGCGATTGCGGCCTAAGCCGGCGCGGCGGCGGCGGATCTGCCGCGCGCGCTGGACAGGGCGCCGCGGCCGCCGCTCTCGACAATGCAAATACGGCCCTCTAATGCAACCACCGGGCGGCCGCCATTGACGGACCGGACGCCGCCGCTGCCTCGGAGGGTCGTCATTCGATATGGCCCCGCGCGGCGGTCCGTCCGCAGAATGGAAATTGGCGGTGTGATTTTCACACGTCAGCCGCAGATCGGGCCAGTTGCGGCGAACGGGTGGCGATCGGCGCCGCGCGCGCTGGCCACCATTGGATGCGGCCCATCGCGGCGAGTCTGGAGCTGACGGTTCAAATTGGGACGCACCGTGGCCTTTCAGTGTGGAACGGAGGCACACAGTGCTGTGGATGGTGTCGATTTGCATCGCATCACACGGCTGTTACCGAGGGACAATATTTTATCGCACGCCCCATGACGAAGAATTGGTTCGCATTCAACCCAAAGCAGGCTTGTTACCATCAATGCCCCAAAATACCAAAGCATTATATTTTTTCCTTCAATAGATAATGTTACAATGTTTGATAAGAGCCAATGGTAGGGATTCGGGTTAAAAAGAAGTTATAGCGTAAGTAATACCGTGTTAAGCGTTAAACAATCCTTAATGCCCGTTGTTATAACCAAATTGCAATTTCTGTACATTGTCTTTCCAAAACCGCTATTATCCTTTACTGGATCTCACGCAGTTTGTCTTAGAAGTTAATTGGTCTGAACTCTATTTTCACATGGTCGTTATGGCAGCAATTCAAGTGTAGACGGTCATACTCTCGGACAACTAGGTACTAGGTGTAGGTTAGTATGCCATGCTTAAAAAAAATTCCCTCGGTAACCTCTCGGAGCTATCGCGAACTTAAAAGCAGAAAGTCAAAACCGTTTTCATGAACCCAGTGTCATCAAAATTACGACAAAATAAGCTTGTGCCTAAATTATTTTCATTTAATGATAACTATGTGTGTAGGTAACAGTAAAAGCTCAGTCATAACTAACAAAGCCCCGAACTCTTTCCGGTCTGATTTTTTCCTCGAATTTATTGCTAATCAAAACCTAATCATACCTGAACGACGCATTTAACAAACTTATAGACAGACAGTGGAAAAAGAAAGTATTTAATGTGTGAGCAGTGAAGACTGGAGCACCCTTGCGCTGTCATAAGCACTTTGAAATGTAACAAAACATGCCGAATCGCTCAATTATTCTTCACTGAATCTATTCTTCGCTTAGCCAGGAATTAATATAAAAAACAATGACATTTTCAAAACTGCACTACTACATAAGAGATAACAGAACATCTGCCATCTTTCTGTCCAATTACCAGAAAGCACCCACAAAAGGCCATTTTATCCACAAGTGTTCGCAAATGGCCGAGGCAGCCCGCCCTTGTTCGAGCCGCCGCGCCGGCCGTAGGTATACCCGGTCCGTTGTATCCACTCGGCAATTGTCTCCACCTGTCTCCGTTGTCTCCGTTGTCTCCGTTGTCTCGGCTGGTCCGCCTGTCACAGCCACTCGGCCCGTCGGCGCCCCTCCCCGCGCCGCGCTGCTCGCGACACGCGACACAATCGACAGTCGGAAACGATGATGAAGCGTCGTCGGCGATGGGGCGTGCGCCGCCGCTTCGCCCCGCCGCTGCCGGCGACAAATGGTGCGGGCAACGGTCATGGCCTCAGATACCGCACTGAATCTGGCGGGCATCGCGGAAAGGGAGCTGTGGCGAGGTGACGGCATTTCGATGCCGCATAGCTCGTCTCTCTCTCTCTCTCTCTCTCTCTCTCTCTCTCTCTCTCTCTCTCTCTCTCTCTCTCTCTCTCTCTCTCTCTCTTCTCATTAGCGGCCAGTTTTAATAAGGCGAATTGCCGGGTAAACTGTCTGCTCCGCCGGTGGGTTTAACGAGACGGCGGCGCAAGGGGCGAGGCACGTGACCCAAGCCGGCTCGGCTGCATGCCCCCGGGGCTATGGGCACGTGACCCGGCGGGGGAGCCCCGGCGCCACGCTCGCAGCCAATGATTGAATCAACTTATTAGAGAGGCGGCCACGAGCTGAGGGGCGCGGCGTTTTCAGTCGGGCACGATTTGATGATTCGGTTAGCGCACGCTCGTGCCTCAGTTGGTAATGATGGCGAGCTGTTTGCTGCGAAATAACCCGACGCGCCCTGTGATTAATTGCGATTTCATGATGTTTGAACTTCTTTGTGTGTTCTTTAATAATGTCTAGATGTGCGTCAGATTCGAGAGCAAGGGGATATCATTATTGGTATAGTTTTGATGGGAATGAACCGGTTATGAGCGCACCGAGCCTTTTAGCAAACACAATTAATGCTTTGATAGCAATGGGATGCGGTGATACTAGTTAGCTCGCATTGCAAGTTTTCCCAGAAAGTTATCGGCTAAGAATAATAGTAAAGGAAATTAAATAGTCCTATCTATCCCATGATGTGAATTAAGCCAGAATAAGGTCAATGTGAGAACAACCTGCATAACACACACCTAACTACAAGTATTTCCGGAGGCATGAGAGGGATTTTTGGTGAGACAAGGAACAGCTTAGCCAAACGTTTTCACTTTTCACTGAATCCAGTAACATTTAAAAAGCTCGCATGGCTGCAATGCCCCCCCCCCTCTACATAGTATAACCGTTGGAAAGTATGCCCGGTGCTGACGGTGCTGACTCTCGAGCCGCCGCGGGGTACCGGCGGGATCGGGTGCGCCGTCTGCAGGGTCGCCGGTCTCCCCAGCGCCAGCCCAGCTGCGGCGTGCTCGACGGACGGGCAGGGGGCCTCTCGAGGACGGCGCGGCCGCCGGGGGTCTGGGAGACGGCCCTCTGAAGGGTCCTCAGCGTCTCGGCGGCCATTGAGCGGCCTCACCGTCGGCTGCACACTGGAGGGCCGGCTGGCGGCGGCTGCCGGCCGGCTGGACGACCCGTGACCCGGGCGTCCGCGGACAGCCAGCTGGCAGCCCGCTCAAACGGGCGCCGCTCTCTGGGGGTAATGGCTGTCAGGGACAGAGAATGGCAGATCGAGTGGAGCGCTGACAGGCCACTGTTGGACGGTGGGCATGCAGCTAAATTGGAGCAAACGGATACCAACTGGTGCTGGAGGACCGAGACCGACATTATTCACAACTGAGCATAAGACTTAATCAAATATGATACGAGCAAAAGGATAATAATAAGAGGATAAAAATATCACATTCAGAGCATTTGTATCGTCGTTTACCACTGCAGCAGCATACGTGGCAACTCAAAACCTATCTTATCCAGCGAGATGGCATGCTCAAATTATATGAAGTCGGCAGCCAAGCCGGGCCCGGAGCGGCCGACGGAAGACCGATCCTTGGTGCGGAGTCTGAGCCCGAGATCCGGGCAGGCGCCTGGGGCGCGTCAGCCCGCCCTGCAGGCACCGTGTTTGCCAGACCACTCGACGCTCAAGCACCGCCGTTGCCTTGACAACGTGACTCTTGTGCTCAAGCCGGACGGTCGTCATGACAACCAAGGCCCCAGGGCTAAGGCAGCACTAATGAGGAGTGGGCCGGGTCGAGCTTCAAGCTAACATGACTTCACAGCGGAAGATATACGTTAATGAGGAAAAGTTGGACCTTGGTATTTTTTGTCTTGTGCCGTCAGCTACGAGTGGATTACTATTTGCTTTGGTAGCTTAGCTGGACCAATAAAAGTTCACATGCTTGCACAATTTTGTTATGATCATAATTATGAGTAGTCAATATGTGCAGCAGCAGCGTTGTCCCTCAGTTACCCAAAAATAAACCGCCTTTTAGCCCAAAGCTAAGGAATGTAGA